CCGAGCTGGAGAGGAGCAACAAGCTATCCATCGTGCTGCTGTGCGTCACACTACATTAACTGCGTGGTTCAAGGCTAATGCGGAATGCGAAGCGACCGTTAACAGCAATAGTATTCCAGCAGGGTTCCTCTACATTCGTCGTTACTTGTACACGGAGCTGCCTACGTACTTTACATTCAAGCAGGATGGAACGTGGAGTGCCCGACGTCGAAGCGGCAACCAGCTGGGTCGAGTGTACACGGTATCCCCTCGCGACACGGAGCGATACGCATTAAGACATCTTCCTTTATGTGTTCGCGGCGCCACGTCATTTCAACATTTGCGTACCGTCGCTGGCGAAAACGGCAATGCGGTTGTACATCCGATCTTTTATGCTGCAGCCACAGCTCTAGGGCTCTTCGACGATGACCAATCCCAACATTGCCACCTTACAGGAAGCTGCGCTGTTCGCTACGGCTTTACAAATGCGGGCCCTTTTTGTGTCTGTGGTCGCATTCATGGAAGTGAAGGACCCGGCGCTGTTGTGGAACACTTTCAAAAGGAATTTCATCGACGACTACCTCTACGAAGTAGAGGTAGTCGATGATGAAATGTCCGAAGAAGAAGCCATTGCCGCAGCCTATTACGACCTCGAGGAACGACTTATCAAGAGCAATATCAATATTACTTCCTTCAACATTCCCGCACCGTCGCTAAGCCGTCGTCCTGTGACTCATGCGTACGACACTACATTTTGCTTCGCCGAAGGTAATCGCTTATACGGGACTTTGAATTCGCAGCAGAAAATAGCGGTAGACACCATTGAATTCGCAGCAGAAAATAGCGGTAGACACCATTGTTGGTGCTCTCAATGAACCGGACACTTCGAAGCTTTTCTTCATTGATGGTCCAGGCGGTTCAGGCAAAACGTGGACCTATACATGTCTCTTCAATATCCTCATCGGTCAAAGCCGCAAAGTTGCGTGCTTGGACAGGAATTGCAGCAAACCTGCTCCCGTTAGGTCGCACAACGGTGTCATTGTTCAAGCTCAATATCATG